TAGTGCAGTGAACAAGCTAAACTTTGGTCCAGCTTCAACTGCTATTTCAACCTTGGAGAGTGATCTTGGGCAAGAACTAGCCTAATTTGCTCATGTGTGATATATGCATATTCATATATCAGGTCATACAGTTTTTCATACTCACAGTTATACCCCCACGATTCCACTTTAGGGTTGCTTCTTATGCAACCCTGCAGCTTTGGGTTTCGTGAGGCATTAGAGTTCTCTGGCTGAAAATTCTAAATGCCCCTCAATAAACTGCAAATCCCAGGAACCATAGTTCTATAATTGTGTAGGGTTAAAGGGCCATTGCGTGGTGAGAATGACTGGGATGAAGATTTTGCCTACTGAATGAATGATCTTTCATGCTTCTTGAATGGTAAAAGATGATTTTGGATTCATACCGCTGGAAAATATACATTTAGAAACAACTCAGAACTTAGATCTGGCCTCCATTCCAACCTTCCTTATCAACGAAGACAGGAGATATCTTGCCTCCTTTATGGTATATTTAACAAATTTATAGGTTCCTATTCATCGAAGGGCTTTCATCCTGGCTTGATGCCATGCTCTCCCATCAGCTGTACTCGAAGGCCGCTACTGGAAGATCCCTTTCCCAGAGAGACTCTGCCCCTGTGACTTGAGTCATATAGAAACAATAGAACATGTGCTCCTCCAGTGCCCATTCTACAGGGATACCTGTGCCAGGCTTATCTTACCTCTCATATACAAGTACCCAGGCCATTCAGAACAATTTTATACCTACCCGCTACTTGTAGATACTAATTCAACTACAACCTACAATGTTGCAAAGTTTTGTGCAGCATCATATAAAATTCATCAAAGGATGACTGGTCCCAAAAGTTAACTGTGTATCCAGTAATCATCTTCTTTGGTTCTATAATTTGCTGTCCTGTGTATTGTATGTTTTTACCCTGTTTCCCCTTCTGATCCCTCATCCCCTATTGTGCTTCAGTACTTATGTTTACATTTTAAATGTACTAAATGTACCAAGTTTGTATGAAAATGTGATTTTTATTTCCCGTGCTGGTCTATGACCAAAATAAATTATTTTATTTGAACCCAGAACTTATGCAGAAGTTGATAGAAGTATAAATTGGGAAGTGATTTATTTATTTATTTATTTACTTACTTACGATATTTCTACCCCGCCTTTCTCAAACCCGAAGGTAACTCAAGGTGGCCTGGAATGCTGTCCATAACTTACCTGAGAGTATATTTTACTGATTCATGAACGGTCCAGGATTTTCTATGAGTAAAGGGAAGCACATGCTTGGATTCTTCATCTTTTTGGGCTCCAATCATACTAAACTGAGAATTCGATTCACTGACCCCAGCAAGTTTTGTTTTGAGTAAACATGTTTAGGAGAAAATTGTATGTCTTTTCACATGTTTTTTAGAGGCTCCTTCTAACATGCATGTCAAAAAAGCCATTATGTTCAACGAGAATTGCGTTGTTTTTTAAAAGTACCAATACATGTCACAGATAGCCTTTGGTGTCTGTGCTTGTATATTTGGAAAGACACATCCATTTTGTGAATGAGTCATAGTAATGTTTTGATACAGACCTTTTTCAACATAATAGATGTTTGTAAAAAGTATTTTGCTTTCCACTATTTTAATGCTGAGATTTTGCAACAATCCTGGTGTCAAATCCATGTCCAAAATATTGCCAAGCAATACTTCACTGTGAGACTTCCAAGCTCAAATTGCACATTTCTTTAGAAGGGAATGAATAGCTTATAGCAGTGGTTCTCAACCTTCCTAATGCTGTGACCCCTGAATACAGTTCCTCATGTTGTGGTGACCCCCAACCATAACATATTTTTGTTGCTACTTCATAACTGTAATTTTGCTACTGTTATGAATAGTAATGTAAATATCTGATATGCAGGATGTATTTTCATTCACTGGACCAAATTTGACACAAATACGCAATATGCCCAAATTTACATACTGATGATGTTGTTGGGGGATTGATTTTGTCATTTGGGAGTTGTAGTTGCTGGGATTTATAGTTCACCTACAATCAAAGAGCATTCTGAACTCCACCAATGATGGAATTGAACCAAACTTGGCACACAGAACTCCCATGACCAAGAGAAAATACTGGAAGGGTTTGGTGGGCATTGACCTTGAGTTTTGGAGTTGTAGTTCACCTACATCCAGAGAGCACTGTGGACTCAAACAATGATGGATCTGGACCAAACTTGGCACAAATACTCAATATGCCCAGATGTGAACACTGTGGGGTTTGGGGAAAATAGACCTTGACATTTGGGAGTTGTAGTTGCTGGGATTTATAGTTAACATACAATCAAAGATTACTCTGAAACAAGCCCACAATGGATCTGCACCAAACTTGGCACACTACCTACATGGCCAACATTGAATACTGGTGGGGTTGGGGGTTGTTTTTTAATTCTGGGAGTTGTAGTTCACCAACACCAAAAAGGAAGAGAAGGACAGGCAGAGAGATCTTCAGCCTTCCCTGACAAAAGAATCCCTAAAACCATCAGAAATATGTGTTTTCTGATGGTCTTTGGTGACCCCTCTGAAACCCCCTCTGAAACCCCCTCCCATGCAGAATATTGTAGAAATTACAACATTTTTCAGGAAACTGACTTTCTTGGCAGCCTGTATATAGCTTTTTACAGAGCATGCCTCAGAAACGCATACAAACTGATCAAGAAACATTAACATTCTTTTGACTGAAAATAAGTTTCTTCATTGCTTTTATTTATAGCACAATCTTTTGGTGTTTTTTTAAAGACACAGTTCTAGAAGTAAAATTGACATGCACTTGCAAGAAAGGAAACATATGGACATCTCTTCTTTTTATAGTTATCTGATATAGGAAAAATAATTTAACAGAATCAGGAATAGAAGATTCTTGCACGACACTTGTTCATAGCATTTATATATGGTATATAAACATGACGATCAGACACTTAACAGCTACTAGAAATCGTTTAAATAAGCCACACAGTCTTCAACTAGCAGCAGCAGAATCTCACACATTCACAACACTTCTCGCTTCCACACGGGTTTATATACACTGAGTAAGTCATTAAATATTGCACTTATTGGCCCATGATCCCTCAGGTTAGAGGTGTTCAAAAATAGAAAACAAATCTATTTTTATAACATCTTCATGCAACATTTAAGACACTTCAGTTCCACAAACACTATTAAATAGTACACACATTCTGACAGTCCAACTGAATCACAACACAGTAGCTGACGTTACCAACAATATATTGAACAGGAATTACAGCACGGTTTCCATTTAACACTAGTTTGCAAGGTACATGTCAGGATTACCCACTGATGCTGACTGATCATGATGAATGGTAAGCAAGCCCTAGGGAGGGCTATAAAATTGCTGGGAGGTTGGGGTATGTCTTCTCTCTCCTAAAATGCCAATTGGCTGTGTCCAAATAGCATGCCATCTATTCTGCTTCCTTTGTAAATGCAAATTCTACACTTTGTAAAATTACTGCAGGTATCTGTGAGTGTCAGAGTAAATTCCTGGCAGGTTCCACAATGCAATGGAGTTAGGAATCAGGAGACAAGAGGGGAAACCTGGGAAATGAATTGATTTCATTACAACAAAATCAATACATGAACTGAGCTGGTATGACAAATAGAGTAAAATGTTGGTCAAATGAATATTCCTGTGTGATACAATGAACAAATTGTAACCATCATAATGTAAAAATTCATTGATCTGACTTGTTATGGAAAATGTTGATAAACATTTCCTCTGAGTTGTAGTTTGGATTCAAGTTTTGCACATGGAAAACCTTGGCAAGGTCAAGATTTTCTTGTGGTTTGAAAAAAATAAAGCAAAAAAATGAGACCCCAATATTGACCTGATTGTCTGCTAGAAATAAGCCAACACTGGGCTGCTAAAGTTGCAAAGATTTTAGAAACGTTACTGTTTTAGACTACAGCTCCTGGAATCCCCTAGCCAACCTGATAATGAGCAGGCTGGTTGAAGGATTTCAGAAGTTGCCACTCGTAAAAAGTAGCATTTCTCAGCTCTGATTATGGAAACTGGGGCCCTTCCATACAGTCCTATATCCCAGAATATCAAGGCAGAAAATCCCACATTATCTGAGTGTGGACTCAAATAACCCAGTTCAAAGCGGACATTGTGGGAGTTGATATTCTGGGATATAGGGCTGTGTGGAAGGGCCCTATGATGACTGAAACCATAACTCTCCCCAGAGGAGTCAAGTCAAAGTGAAGTGATCCACTCTTAACATCATAGAGTTGGAAAAGACCACAAGAGCCACCCAAGTCCAACCTAGTACAGTGTAATGTTATAACTAAGGAATGGGGAACTTTTGGCCCATCAGACATTTTGGACTACAGTTCTCAAATTCCATTACAATGTAGTAAAGCTGGGTGAGCTTGATGGAAATTGTAGACCTTAACAGCTGGAGAACTGTTTTCCCATCACTGTTCAAGACCTTCCACGAGCTTAAAAGCATCAACTAAATAATATGAGCCATCTCTAAATTAATAGCATCTCTAAATTACCTGAGAACCTACAGCTTTTAGGTTTTCTAAAATAAAAAGAAATACAAACAATATGGGAATCTTACCACGTCTAGGAAACCCATTACATACTATGAACATCACTATCTTTTCACTTTATGTCCAGAAACTAAAAATGTAATTCCATGAATGAAAATACTTCTCTTGATGGAATTATGGTGAGGGAAATAGCCCTCTTTCATCTCTACAGCTCTCTGTGTACCCCAAACCACATCTGGAGGTCTAGTGAATATTCTGGAACTGGCTTTTGGCAGTGAAAAAGAGGGCAAGGGTGAGGGGGAAGGGAAGAAGTCTGGCTATGTTAGGAGCCGTTTGTTACTATAATGTTTAGTGTAGGTCTATGATTGCATTGGTTTATCTGAGAGAATACAGATGTCACAAGATTTGGCCCATAAAGATAAAATGACACCATCTTTACAGAGTATCTCTATTGAAAATTCAGCATGGAACAATCCAAAATGAAGCACAGATTTGTCATGAGGGCATAGTTTGAATGGGACCTATGCAAAACTTGCCATGCTCAGAGTGTATAACAGTGTTTGAATCATGCAAAATGAATGTGCATACCAGTACCTTGTGGAAAAAAGAGCCCTAATCAACAAGACACTCATTTACACAGCGCCATCACATAAAACATGCTCATTGAAAACTAGATCTACTAAGTGTCCATGACTGACAAAAATTGTATCAAGAGACAAATTTTGCACCACTGTTAAAGTCTCCTAAACAAAAACACAACCATCCAACAAGTCTGCAAGTTAGGATCAAACTCCAGTGAACATAGTGCACCATTAAATAGCGCTTCGTTTCTAAAATAAATAAGGTGCAGGCAGTACAGCTGGATGTAACAGAGCTGAGCCAACTGGGAAGAAAATCTAATCTTTTAGACTCATGCTCTGGAAAGGCCACAGAGATCTAGCTGTTCAGGTAGTTTCTCTATGCAGTAAACGGAGGGCTTATTCCAATTTATCTCAGGCAAAGGTGCAATTACCAGTTCATCTACAATCGAGAAGGTACTTTGACTAGGTTTTACAAAAGTTGAATTCTTCCATCCATGGCAAAGAATATTCAGGTAGTGAGCAGACACAAAGCTTGAGATAGATTTGTCTTAGGTGTCCAGAAAATGTCCAGCAATGAGTCCCAAAGGGGAGGAGTGGACTCCTATATGGGTAAATGTGAGTATAGTATTCACACTACACAAACAATCTCCTTCCCTCTAGCAAAAGATTTCAGGGGAGGATTTAGAGTTTAGTGAGACACTGGAACTCCCTGGCAGACATTACTAGATGCCCGCTGAAACTACAAATCCTTGTATTCCACTAGATGGAATCATGGTATCAAAGTGCTGTAATTGTCTAGTCTGAAACAGACCTCACTGTTAATAGCCAATATAATACTTCAATTTGCCATGGCCACTTTAATTGAGGAGAAGATTTCATTTATACCAGGACTGCCTTTTTTTGAAACCTGGAAAAATATGGTGACCCTCTCCAGAAGGAATTGTATGAATCCTGCCCTAGACATGGATGATAGTACCTCAATTGCATTATACATTGGAAAGGCCCTACGTAAAAGCACAAGGAACAAACAGTTTCAGTAAGAGTTACATTACATTGCAGCTGAGAGAGATAGAGGAAATCCATTTCAACAGAAAGGCCAGGATAGGGATTCCATATTTTAGGACACCAAAAATCAGACGTAAAAAGTAGTCTTTTTTTTTCAAAAATAAAAATGCCATCCTGAATGAATGGCACTCCAAAAAATAGGCACATTTGTCATAGTTATAGAATGAGCTATTTCATGTAACTTAAAAAATGAATTTAACAATTTCACCAATAGGATGTATTACCATAGTACTAGATAGGCTTCATTAGCATTGTGTGCTTGTCTATGTTACAGCATTCAAGACATGTGTCTTATCCAGTTGCCTATGTGTGAAACTTCATAGGCGTACAGGAAGCAAAGAGAAGCTTGAGACAAAGGAGTTTTGCCCTATGAGAGGAATTTCTTTACCAGTAGCCTGGCTGTAATTGCATCCCCATGTGGTGATAGTTCAGCTGGTACTGATGGATCAGACTAGCGTCGTGAGTACATTTTCCCATTGGAGCTAAAATGGGAATCCCTTGATTCCTAGAAATTCTGTACTTCCACTCTGGCAGAAGCTCCAGACAGAATGCACCCACAGGCATCAACTTGGACACAGTGGAATTGGACTAGATATATCTTTAGTTTTGCTCCAGGACCATTTTAATTACATTCTTTCTTATATTCTAAGCTGCCAGCTACTATATGTATTTGTTTCATCCTTCACCACCATTTGCCTGATGAACAATATTAGAATGGCATTAAAGATGAACTAGAGGAGAACCACAAACATTTAAAACTTAATAATCCTAGAATGTTTAAGCACTTCATCACTATAACTATAATGAAGCACTGAGGATTGAATACTACTGGGCGAAGAAATAAAAACTGAAGCACATTTTCAGAGTTGATCTTCTAGGTATAAATATCTTAATCAGAGGGGGTGCATTGAAAATACCCGCATTCTGTCCTGTTATTGTCTGCTTTTCAATGACTTCATCATCAATTTGTGATTGGTGAGATAGGTGTTAAAATTACAGTATTTTCAGGGGACACCAATAAACATTGCCAAATTATGATGTTCTCACTAACAGCTGTAAGAAACTAATCAACAACATACTCTGAAGCAAACAGTGTTTCAGATGTAATGGCCCAGATCTGTCCTCATAGGCAATTTTAAAATATTATTTCTGAAAGTGCAGGGAAAAATAAAATTGGGAGAAATAAATAAGGAAAAAAGTTATTTGGTTCTAGAATCAGAAATGGAAGGGGATGTGATGTAGAGAATACAATGTTTCTGGGAGGATGGCTGGAAGGCACCCCATTAAAAATGGATTTCTACTAAAATGGTTTGAGATGTGTATAGGCTTGGTGAAATAGACAGAATTCATGGGAAAGGGACTGGGTGGCACCCCATTTTTTATTATTACTGTCCATTCAGAGAGGAATTGTGCATTAGTTGAATGATTTCACTGAATTGAGTAAAAATTGGTTTTCTAAAGTTTTGCTGTGTAAACTATATAAATGAAATCATTTCAGATTGTTTTTCTGCAAATTAAAAGGAGATGTTTGTGATGGATAGGTTTCATATCCAGTGAATGTGGCATTCCAGAAATTCATGTTGGGGGCCTCAAGAAATGAAATTCATATGGAGCAATACAGTTGGCAGCCAATCAAAGGCAGTTGAGACTGTTGCACAATGGGAGGAAAGTTTGAGCCACTCAATGAATTCTGTACTTGCAGAGCTGATGAAACTGAACTCTTCAATGTCCCCATTATTTTTGTGTTGGCAACGTGTTATTAATGCATAATGTCTCCTTATTTTTTCATGCAAACTAGTCTCAGATCTTAGTTAAGCAGTGTTGAAACTGCACAAGTGAACTAGCCTTGGGAATCTCATAGGCAAAGCTTTGCAGACATACTATGTATCCAGAGATCCATGCATGAAAGGAGTAATTTTTCACTTAGATATAAGGAATGCCTACCATACATACAAAATCTCCTTTGTCCATCATCCTAGGACATAATGAGGAAACTCTGAAAGAGGTACAGTTCCAAAGATGCAGTAAGAAGCACTGGGTCAAAGCAGTAGGGGGGCAGCCTTACTTTTAGGCAGAGTGGTGGAGGGGCTCACGGACAAAATTCTAGTTGCCATAGAATGGCAAAAAGTTCTTAGTTCTCCAATGTGTCACTTATTCTTACTGTCAAGGGAGAGAGCTGGGATTTTCTGCCTCATGGTCCAAGTTGTTAGGGGTTATGTGTCTTGACTTGGGAAAGTGACCATGCTAGTCACTGCTCTGCCTCAGGCACCAAAAGAGCTTGGTTGGATCTGGTACAAGAAATATGCTTAAAATCATCATGCAAGTGACTTTTGGCAAAAAATAACTTTACAAATAAGAACTTCCATTATATTTACTATTGGTAGTTCTCAATGGGGAAAGTATCAGTAATGTTATTTTTAAGATCAGAGCTCTCATGGGTGTAAACAGATATCATGTTTGTATAAATTTCTCCTTTGCATAGTTCTTATTTTTTATGGTATCGTATCAATTTATTTTACAATGTCATTTCACTGAGAACTGGAATACTTATCATGATGAGATGAGGATACTTTCATTCTAGCAAGCTTCTAATGACTACAGTAACAATATTCTGAAACTTACATCTGTGTTCATAAGAAAATAAGCATATGAATGATAGCAATAGTATTCATTTGGTTTTGCTTTTTATGGTGTAAGTAGCTATATTCCATGTGGTACACAATGGTATCCTGGGAAGAAGAAGACTAAATCTGCCATCTGGCTGCTTAAGAATTAAATATTTGGGGATATCAGGACACCGAAAATAGAAGACCTGACATGGTTGTTCTTTGTTTTAGACTGAAATGAGTACATCCTAGACAATGTATGAAAATCCTTCAAAATAAGGAAAATTCTAGTGAAGGTGATCCAAAGTCCTGGGACAAAATGAGTTAAACAGTCAGGCTTTGCAAGAGCACCTTGCCTGAAAGCTAGACAACTTTGTTTCTTGCTTCCAAAATAAGACATTCCTCACACTGAAAGTTGTTTGACAGGGAGGTAGCTGTATCTGCAAAATCTAAAATTGCTCCATGTTGTTGTTGTTTAGAGGGGCAACTAATAGTCCACAGTCACCTTGCAGTATGGACATTCTCCAGGGAGGGGAAATGCTGACAAGTTACCTGGAAGAGACACCTGAACTTGCATTGCTAGCTTACTGCAATATTAGCTCCGATTTGGAGTGTCAGTAATAGAATATTTTTACTTCTAGACTGCTGGATCATCCCAGGAAGATAAAATGGCATTAAGTGAACAAAAATGAAAGAAGAATAAAATTCAGACAAAATTTGGGCCTGAGATTACAGCACCAGCTGAAGTGATAATGGATCTATGTGGACGAAAAAAGGAAATGTTCGGGAAGAGACCAAATAGTCATCTACGTGCAGAGGGCAAATGCTAAGAAAAACTGGAGAGTCCTTTCCTTCTGCCTTAGTGATCCATTCCACAAAATAACTCTATGCACGTACTGTACCAGCAGTGGACGTTAAAGAAGACATATTTTCCCCCAATGAACCAGTAAGACATTATAAATAAAGGCATATAGACCCTATGTAAATACTCTATTGGCAAAAGAACACACCGGAGCTGCCTCTGTTGACAATGATTCTATTAACAGCCACAGTTGGGCTGCTGTGGAGGAGGGGTGTCTTTTAGTCTTGTGTTCTGTTTACCAGCTGCAATGGCAGGATCTGTCTCCAGACTTTCTGACATTTTGTCACAGATGATATCCACCAGTCGCTCGAATGTCTGCTTCACGTTGATGTTGTCCTTGGCACTTGTTTCAAAGAATTCAAAACCTAATGAAACAGACAGGAAAAACAAACAAAAAAGCCCACATACATAAGTAGCACTGTAGTCATTTTAACATTCTTTCTCTTCTTTAATGACAAATTCCATCCTAAAATAAGGAGCAAAAAGGTAGAAGAAAGAACCAACGCAAGCAAAAATAAAATAAAATAAATCAGTTTGGCACAAAGAATGCATTTAGGACTTAACTAATGGGCAAGCAAATAGGAGAGGAAGCTGGCAGCTATATCATCACATTCAAGCACATCAGAAGCAATGCATACCAAGAAATAAAGAGCCCACATAAGTCTACATTTGAAGAGTTCACCCTGTGGTCTAGTAACCCAATGCAGAAAGAGAATAATTGTAGGAACAAGAGAAGAATCCCTAGGGGCTACAGTTTGGGGATCAGCCTTGGTAAATGGATCCTTCTGCCTGGCTCAAAATCTGTAATGACCTATTAGTCTCTTGACTTGCAAGTGGATTTAAACTATTATTAGTAATGCAAAAATGTCTTCAAGTTGGTTTTGATAAAAAAAATTAAATTTAGTTTTATAGTTTATTTAATGATTACTTAAAAGGAAACCATTCACTGAAATGATTTCCTTTTAAGATGTTTTTTTAGTCACCAGCCTCTCCAGAATGACCAGACTGGCTTTTTTTCCTAGACAAAGAGGGCATGAATTGTGTTGCCTGAAAGCTGTTTGAATAGGGTTGCACAGAGGCATAAGAAGGAATTAAATTTACAATGGATGAGTGCACATAGAGCCAGAGTGGTATGCCAGTTTGAGGGTTAGATTAGATGTCTGGTGATCAGGATTTGAACCCCCACTACGCCACTGAATCCCTGCTTACTCACCACTTCATCACACTGGGGCAAATTGCTCCTTTGCAGCACTTTGCAGGTCCTGCGCCATTAATGCTTGAAGTGCAGAGGAAGAATTGCAAGACACTTCCTTGGCCACAACAGCAAGGTAAGTGTCTTTTGGATAGCTCCAACAGAGCTATCCACATTTTGGGGCCCTTTCTTCCATGTGATGGGGGAAAGGGCAATACAGCAACATGTTTTGCTGTCATTTCCCCCATCTGATGGGAGCATGGCAGCAATTCATCTTGTCCTGTTAGCCCCATCTGATGGGGGAAGGGCTGAAGAGGTGCCTTAGTATTGTTGTTGTTAAGTGCCTTCAAGTTGACTTTGACTTATGCTGACTCTATGAATGAGAGACCTCAAAGCCACCTCATAAGCCTATTCCAGTCTTGCAAACACAGGGGGGTTGTTACCCTGATGGAGTCCATCCATCTGGAATGCAGTCTTCCTGTTTTGCAACTGTCTTCTACCTTATCAACCATTAACTTGTTTTCTAGTGAATCATCTCTTCCCATGGTATGTCTAAAGTGAGACAACCTTAATTTAGTCATCTTGGCTTCTAGGGAGAGTTCAGGCTTTTCTTAAAAACCCATTTATCTTCCTTTTTAACGGTCTAGCACCACATCTAAAATGAATTGATTTTCTTCCTATCAGCTTTCTTCACTCTCTAGCTTTCAAAATCATTCATAGATATATGAAATGCGATGGCATGGGCCATCTTAAGTTTGGCATTCAGAGTTATGTCTTGACACTTCAGGATAAGGTCTAGTTCCTTTATAGCTGTCCTTCCAAGTCTTAGTCTTCTTCTGGTTTCTTGACCGCAGTCTCCACTCTGATTAATGACAGAGCCAAAGTATGGAAAACCATGTACTATTTCAACATTGTCAACATCTACTTTAAAGTTATGCAAATAATCTGTAGTCTTTATTTTTGTTTTCTTAATATTCATTTTGACCCTGCCTTTGTATTTTCTGACTTGATTTTCCTTGTTCATCATGCAAGTCTTTTTCTATTTCCTGCTAGTGACTTTGAGTAAATTAACACTATCTCAGCCTTAGAGGAAGAAAGCTGCAAACCTCATCTGGCTAAATATTGTCAAGAAAACCCTAGAATACAGCATCCATAAGTCTGTCAACTTGGAAGCACATAACAAAACAAATAAATATACAACTAAAGAAAATAAACTTTATTTTGGCAAACATTTTAGCACCAAGTTTGAAGTGAGGAAGAGGAAGCAGGACAGCAAGCAGTAACTGACATATTATTTCTCTTCTTACCAAGTTGCTCTGCTAAATGTTTCCCTCTGTCAGTAGAGATTACCCGTTCTTCTTCCATGTCACATTTGTTGCCAACCAAAATAACCTGGGCATTATCCCAAGAGTATGTTTTTATTTGGGTTGACCTTAAAGGAGAGACAAAAAGAGAGAGAGAGAGAAGGACACATTAACAAGATTGGTCTCATTTCTGCATACAATTAAAGGATAGTGACATTTCTGTCACATTTCTGCATACAATTAAAGGATAGCAAATGATAGATTGTTCAGTCTATGTCTTTCTCCACAATGGATTGAATCTTCATTTTGATTTCCTATCAGGAAACAAAATATTCTGGGCAAGCCCTCCAAAATTACTTGCCACTGAAATCAGTCTAGGTCATATGTTGTTGGTTGCCCATTTTCATACCTTTCAACAATATCAAAGTGTAATCAAGATAACAAAAGTAATGTAATGAAAAAACCTTTCCCCTCAATATTGCAGCTGTTTTAAATGTCTGTTTGGGTGCAGAACTTGAAAATGCAATACAAATTTAATACTACACACAGTTCTTTTACAAATTCAATATTTTTATCAATTCAGTTTTGATTAAGGAACACTCTAGTGTGTCAGTGCAATTTCTTTTAGTGCTTTTGAATAGATTTTTTATGTTTCATATGAGCGAATTAATGTGTTTTTAAAGTCTTTAAGAATACTTTAATCCCTTACTGTTTAGGCTTTTCCCTCCCTATAAATCTTACTAAGTCATATACTACGAAATAAAAACATCAAAGTAAGTTTTGGGGGGATATGTACATGATATAGTAAATCCAAGGATAATCCCTATAAATTCAGTTTTAAAAAGGCTGTACAGCCCCCCATTTTGCAGGCCTGTGTTGTATATTAGGAAAAGCACATTTTCTTAGAGATGCTGCAACTGTTGACTTTTGCCAGAACCTACTGGAAAAGGCAATACTCTATCCACTCCTCTCTACCTTTGCCCACTGAGTGCAAATTATTCTTGTACTTTGAAGTCTACTTGTAGCAATTGAATTAAGCTGAGTGGAAAGGAAGTGGGATGATAAGAGAAAAACAAGGACATTTTAAGCAACTAAAAAGTCAGATATATGTGAATTAGTTGGGACCGTCCCTGCTAAATTAGGAGAGTGAGAAGCTCTGCATTTTAAAAACTTCAGTTCAATAATAGTTCAATGCACAGTCCTGAATATATAAACAATGTAATTTATAGTACTGAGGCTGAGGGCATCTGAATACAACCATGTTAATAATTGCCTCCGATTTTACTACTATTTTACTTCCATCTCTTGCTGATGGCATCCACTTGTCTGTTGTTTCTTAGATATAGTTTATCAATGCAGCATGGGAACCAAATACATGCAAGCTGCTTCCTCATCACAACAATAAAAACAATTCTGATGTAAATATGAGGAAGTCATATTCAGGATTTCTCTTGGAAATGGTCTCCCTTGCTTCCCAAAGAAGATATTGCTTGTGCCTTCTTCGTCTGCCTTTACCTAGAGGATTTCTAAGGACAAGTATTGCATTTAAAGACCTGGTACTCTTGAAAGTATGAAAGATTCACAGAAGCTTAAAGGATCCCAGCTGTGTCGTTATATAATTCCTTTTTTGTCTGAGGATACAAGCCAACCATCCTAGTCTTCAAGACACCCAATAGAAAATCCTAGGATGGATTATCTGTACTGAGTCCAGAACATTTTAACAAACCTGGCCTGGATTAAGGAACAAGTCAACCATAAATATTACGGTGGGAAATAGAACTCTAGGAGGAAGTGAATTCTATTAGGTCATTTAACCTCACCAGCAGGAATTTGATGGTGATCACAAAGACAAGTGCGAATGAGGATTACAAATCAGCTCCCAGACAACAACAAGGTAGGTATCTAATAATTGCTTTGAATCAGAGACAAAATGATGACTTTGGAGATCCAAAAGAAACTGGAAGAATTGTAATCAATGTGTGGTGTTTATCTTGAATGTAGCAAATACATTTATAAGACATTATGATGATGATGAAATATGAAGAAACAACCCACAGAGTATTCCTACTTAAGACCGCAAAGCTGTTCACAGAAGATGGCTGAGCTTCAGAGAACTCTTTCATTGGACTACAACTCCCAGAATCCCCCAGCCAGTGTCCGGTTGTTGGGTGGCAATAAGAGGGTTTGAATTGCATAATAGAAGGCCCACTATCTGGAAGGTTTTTTTTTTTTTGCTACAGACTATTTCTAGTATAATCTCCCTATTGTATGAATCAGCAGTAACTTTGGGTAGTACACATCTTGAAGATTGCATTATTTGTTTAGAGAACCCCAATGCCCTCAAACTCCTGCCAAAGTTGCCACATGGCAAAAAGGGTGTGATTTCTCTTTAAAAGGGCTTATCTAGTTTAAAAGAAAGCTGTTGGAAGGTCTAAGCCATCCCCATAATTGGCAATAATGTCAATGGCTGCAATGTAGGAGGATGGGTGCCCTCCTTGCCATCCTTTCATGGGATTGGTTAAGACGCTTGGGTTTTGTAGGCCTTTGAGGGCCAATCACTTAGGGCCCTTCCAGACAGGCCCTATATTCCAGGATCTAATCCCAGGTTTTCTGCTTTAAACTGGATTATATGAGTCCACACTGCCAGATAATCTGGGATAAACAGAAAACCTGGGATCAGATCCTGGGCTATAGGGCCTGTCTGGAGGTGCCCTTGGGAAGAAATGGCCTTTTAGAGGGTGCTCTACCATTTAGGATGTAGCCATGACTGTAAAGTGGAATACAGCACTATAAATGATTCACTTAACAGTCCTAAGCCTGTCTAAACAAAGATGTCTTTATCAGCCAGGGGAAGGACAGCAGAGAGAGTACATAAAGTATATCATTAAGGTATTTTCTATTATTATGTACATTAAACAGGATACCAAATAAAATGAAATAAAATGAAAAAGGCTCATAAATGTGCCACACCAGGTAACCTCAAACAAAGCCACGCAGCAAAGAAGCAAGAGTTGCATTAATATTAAATATTTTATTATAGAAGGTACCATTCCTTTGATGACAGTACCCATCATCATACATTCTCTCTCTCTGGAAGCATGCTGAGCTCTTTCAGAATTTGTGGTTAATCAGAATTCGACAAACGGCTTTTACAAAAGATGTACTGGTCACCATGGTAACCTTGCAAAGCCCGTAACTCAGATCTCTTGCAGTGTGAGCCCATTAATGGGTCTAGAAAATTTCATTTTTGGATCAGTTGTAAGACAGGGACTATTGGCATATTTCACTGTGGAATGGGAGATGTTTCAAACTATAAACCTCAGGAAGATACATTTCCTTTTTTTAAAATTCTGCATTCATCCCCATGTCTGTAAGTTTAACATTACCTGGAGGGAGGATGACACACCATTTTCATAGCTACCAATAGGTTTTCATGGCTCACAAAGCATATGTTACCTATAATGGGATAGGCATTCTGATCTTCCTTCTTTTTCACTCATATTTTGACCATGATTCAATTATTTTGAATTCTAATATAAAACCACAAGTTAAATATAATTTTATTTACATTGCAAACTGTTTTGCCTGTAAGGAGAACCCTTCTACTTGCAGATTTCTTTTTAGGTTTCCTGCAATAAATAAATAAATAAATAATGGAGATGATGGCTGCCACCAATAGGCAGCAGCCAGCTTGCTTACCAGAGTGGCGTACAGGGAAAATATACCCCTCCCCACTCATTACGTTAGCTTCACTGGCTGCCAGTCTGTTACTGAGGACAATTCAAAGTGCTGGCTTTAGCCTATAAAGCTTTAAATGTTTCTGGCCCAGCTTATCCGTCTGAATGTATCTCCCCCTATTAACCATTTCAGAGATTAGAATGGTCCAGGGATGCTCTGCTCTCGGTCCTGCCTGCTTTGCAGGTGCAACTGGTGGGAACAAGAGACAAGGTCTTCTCAGTGATGGCCCTCCGGCTATGGAACTCCCTCCCCAGTGACATTAGTTCATCCCCCTCCCTCCTAGCCTTCAGAAGAAAGGTAAAAACTTGGCTGTGGGATCAGGCCTTCAGAGAGTAGTGCAGTGCAATTAACAGATCTGGAATATTTGGAATGACTATGGAATGGCTTGGATTACGAATTATGGATAGTGTGATTTTAATATGGAATGTAATGTTTTTTGTTTTATATGTTTTTAATTTTAATCTAATTTAATTTAATTTTTTTTGGAATTGTATGTGTATTAGTGCATTGAATAATTCCCTCTATGTAAGCCGCCTCGAGTCCCCTTTGGGGCAGAAAAAGGCGGGGTATAATAAAGTAAATAAATACCGAATAGAAGTCACTCTATAACTGTGAGCAGAGCTTGGAAAAATTATTTTTTGGACCACAATTCCCAAATCTCTCCCCCCACCCCAAACACACACACCAATAGGATCAATTGCTTAGACTGTATGCATCTTCATCCCCTCACCCTTATTATCTCCAATTTAAAAGCCTCTGCAGTTTAGTTTTATAATGCTTTAAAGGCTGCAAAAGCCTGAGATGAGATGTAAGCAGCACAAAGGAAACGCCATTGGCAAAAGTAAGTTTCCAACAACCTTCTTGAAATAGTTTTGAAAGCAAAATTCTGTCTTCGGCAAAACGTTTGCTCCAGCAAAGATGGATAAAACCTGATAACCTAGCTTCTAGCCTTTCTTTCTTTCTTTCTTTTAATCATTTATATCAATGCTACTGTTAGCAGTGGTTGTAGATATGTGCTGCTTTACTGGCTGCCAGTTCATGGAGTGTTTCCCTTAAAGTTCAGACTATTACCTGGGGGGGGGGGGGTTACATCTCCACTGTAGGATTAATGCTGTAATACTTCTTTAACTGCCATGGTTCAATGCTAAGGAATCATAGGAATTGCAGCATCACAAGATCTTTAGCTTTCTCTGCCAAAGAGTGCTTGTGACTCACCAAACTACAAACCCCAGTATTCCATAGCACTATGCTATGACAGTTAAAGTGGTGTTAAACTGCACTGACTCTATAGCAGAGATGCACACATGAAAGCTACCAGTTGCCATCAATCATAGCTGGCAAAGCTGACCTGCGAACTGATCTTTAAAATGTCTTCAGAATATGATGCCTT